CATTGAGATGACTATATCACCACCTGCAATCACTTATTTTTCCAGCCCTTAGCACATGTTCAGTGTTCCCTGTATACAAGGACACATAATTCATTTTTGTCTAATGCAGCAGAGTAAAAACATTAACTTGGAGGTTTGAATGATGTGTTATAGGCATAGATACACTCTTCTGTGACTTTACAAACAGCAAACTAAATTGATCACATTTTCTAAAAACTATTGCATCTGAGAGTGGCTCAGAGAACTCTATGCCCTAATGCCTGGGCCCAATTTTGAGCAACTTAGTGTTTGTTAACTTGTATCTATTTTCTACAATCAACCAAGTGTTAATTAAACCCAGTGCAGCATCTCCATGGCAATGACTTTGGCATCAGGAGACCCACTGAAGACCTTGTACTACCAAAAAAAAGTAACTACTTTATGGTCACTATTAGCTGTGACTGTGCTAGTTGGTTAATTAATATAAAAGGGCATGAGGAGGTCGATTGCATTTGATTGTGGTCTGGGTCACAGACTCTAGACCACGATTACGTCTGACTCTGAGTATGCACAGACTTTAACATACTTCAGGGTTTCCTCTCTTCTTTTAGCAGTTTAATGTGGCTTCTTTACCACTGCCTCTGTGTCTCTGGCCTTTCTCAAGAATAGAAAAAGGAAAGAGGAGCTTGCCCATGGAGAGCAGGCGACTACCTTCAGCTGATTCTATTAGCATTGAGAAGCAAGAGGAAACACCTACCTCCAACAGCACATAGGTTTTCATAACTCAGGTAAGAAACAGAGAGGGCTGATGGGTTCAACCTAGAGCTGTGCCAATAACAAAAAAGGAAAGCCACACTTAAGGGCACAGGTTCCAAACAACGTTAGTCAGGAATAGCTAGCCTTAAAGTGAATGTCTATAAAGTGGTACATTTAAATTTCATACTTGTTCTAAATTAACTTAATTGTTTCCCTGCCTAAATTTACATAGATCTCTTCATTCAATTCTCATTTAATTCAGCAAGTAACTCAAAAGCATTTTAACTATAAAAGTTAAATAATGAACTAAAACTAAGAGGTATTAGGTAAGATTTAGAAAAAAATTAAACTAAACACTGAGCTGATAATTCAGTAAATGTACAAATAATTGAGGTTGAAGAGTGTAAGGAAATACTGCATTCCCTGAGCCCAAAAGTACAGTCAAGAAGAGCAGCAGGAACATAGAGACCAGGGAGACAACTATAAAACACAAGAGAACTGCTGTGTAACAAGAGCTGTCTCCAAGAGCCGGCACCTTACTGACGGGTAACACTCCCCCAAGCACAGAGCAACCTACGCTGTTGCCAACGCCCTCACTCTGCTTCCTGGCCTTACTACCTTCCAGTTGTCTGTCTGTCAGCCGAGTCTTCTAGGCTAGAACCTTAGGATCATTCAGGCTGTGACATTTACAACCCTGCCTTCCTAGAGAGTGATGAGGGTTAGCCAGTGCTGTGAAGATTAATCGCCAAGCTTATCCTGTCGATTTTTTCTTATGCCAATACAAATGCAAAGCCATGTGCCAGTCACTCTCCAAACTGCCAGCTCTCCTACCCTGACCTTTCTCAGTGTGATCATTGTATGAGAGTTTCATACAATGTGTGCTGATTGTGTTCAACCACTACCTCCCTGCACCCAAACCCATCTCCTCTTCCCAACCCACTCAACTATGACTTTTTTTTAACCCATCAATTCCAATTTATGCTGCCCAAATACTCTTGGATGTGTGACCCTTACTGGAGGATAGTCAGCCTGCCATGGCTCACACTGTTAAAACTGATCCTTCCTCTCCCAAAAGATATTAATTGCCAGCACCTCCTTGGCTAGAGGTGTGACTTCATGCCCACCTGCCCTCTCCATGCTGGAATTTTGTCAAGACAAAAAGGCAGAATCCTTTCACTGTCCTTCTGGATGGAGGCAGTTAGAGAAAAGGACATCTGCTCCAGCATGCATTAACTTCCAAGGTGAAATGGATGAGAGGGTGTCTGAGCAGATTGCACAGGTGCTGTTTCCTTTAAATATGATCGAGGAGAGTGAAGGAATACCCTGCCCTCTCTTCCTTGTCCCCTCCCCCATAGAACCACTCACACAAAATACAGCATAGTCTAACCCTGGTTCCATTAGCTTTGGGAATGAACCTAGATGGGGTCACCAACATCTGTGATTGTCAAAGTTCTACAAACAGAGAATGCTTAAGAAGGACCTGTATTTAAAGTGAATAATTATGGGTGAATGCTGCGGCACACACCTATAATCCAAGTACGCAGTGTGGTGGAGAGGCAGAGGCAGGAGGATCACTCCGAGTTCACAGCCACGGTGAGCACCATAGGAGCACAGCACAAGAGCATCATAGTGAGACCCTGTCTCCCACGCAGTTCGTGCTGGCTGAAGTTAAATTCTTTATCTGCTCAGAGACACATATGTAGGTTTTCTGCATGTGTTAAACAGCAAAGGAGCTTTCCAGTTTTTCTATTTGGAGGACAGCAGATGGAGATAAACACTGAAGATCAAAGTACAGATGGTCTTGAACATAGATGCCACTGCACTCACCCATAAGTATTTACTTTAAATATAGGTCCTTCTTAAGCATTCTCTGTTTATAGAACTAGCTTTGTGTGTATGTGTGTGAGAGAGAGAAAGAGATCTATTAACCCCCTACTAGCCTTGAAAAGCAGTGATTGCTCACTTCACCAGAACAATAAAAAATCAGAGTTATAGAATTTGCATCCAACAGGTCGGAGTCTAAAGTAAAACCCATATATGCCTGAACATTATCTACATGCAGAAATTCACTAGCAGGCCAAGAATTAAAAACGTTGGACTTAGAATAGGGAATAGTTTACCACACTATCAGTCAGTAAATGCTTATGTGAGGCTTTGGGCAAGTAATCAGAAGAATGAGTGAGGGGAAAGAAAAGGATGTCTGTCTGAGGAAGGCTAAGAACAATTATTAAAAACAAAAAGCACCAGAAACAAGACAGTTCTCCTCTGCAATCAAGGAGAGGCCATTGTGTTCTCCAGAATCATTTGTCTACTTGGATTAAAATTATAAACACTAAACAGTGTCCAGTTTCATGAATGTTGTCCGCAAAGTGCTTTGTTCATATAACAAATAAAAGAATGGAAGATAAATTGAAAACATTGCTTTCCAAGAAGTACACAGTGCTTCAACATATATCTATGTTTCAATCATCACAACTTTAACAATGATCTCTTCTACTGAATGTGTTTTACCTTTCAACTGTGAGCAAATAGATGTCTTGCCTGGGACCTGTTTATGTATTTATTACTACTGCACATCTAGTGCCTAAAAAATTATTGTAATCTAATCACACAGCTAGGTATTTTGTGTTACTATTTGATGGCTTCTGTTGAGATCTCTCCTAAGGTAGGTGCCAAACTTTTTATTATTAATATTAGCTAAAGTAATAATTCTAATTGTTTATAAATGTGATGCACTTCTCACTTCCTTAGGGTCCTATCTTCTAGAGAGCAGCAAGTGCACTCAAGCTTAGGATAACTCTAGACAATACAACTCCAAACCCACATTCTCGTCAGTTCTTTTTCCTCATTTTAAAGATGATTTTACTTTTGTTTATGTGCACTGGTGCTTTGCCTGCATTATGTCTGTGTGAGGGTGTCAAATCACTTTGAGCTGGATTGCAGACAGTTGTGAGTTGCCATCTGAGTGCTGGGAATTGAACCCGGGTCCTCTGGAAGAGCAGCCAGTGCTCTTAACCGTGAGCCATCTCTCCAACCCTTCTTTTTCCTAATTTTTATTGTTTGTGTTTTTTTGTTTGGTTGGTTTTGATTTTTGGTTGTGGGGGTGTTTATTTGCTTTTGAGACCGGGTTTCTCTGTGTAGCCCTAGCTTTCCTGGAACTTGCTCTGTAGACTAGGCTGACCTCCAAACTCAAAAAGATTCACCTGCCTCTCTCTCAAGTGCTGGTATATAAAGGCATATGCCACCACTGCCCAGAGTTCCTAATTTTTTTTTGGTTTTTTTCCAGACAGGGTTTCCTAATTTTTTTTGACGAGGAAGGGATTTCCAGACAGGTTTCTCTGTAGCTTTGGAGACTGTCCTGGATCTCACTCAGTAAACCAGGCTGGCCTCGAACTCACAGAGATCCTCCTGTCTCTGATTCCCAAGTGCTTGATCAAAGGTGTGTACCATTATCCCCAAGGTTTTCCTAAATGTTAAACTAAATTTGTCTTTAAGGTTTGCATGTGTGACATCCTAGGCCATTGGCTCAGAAATCCTTAAAATATAATGAAGTAGGCAATCCACATGTCCAAGAAGAAACAGCTGTTACTCCGGGTTGTCATGGAGCCTATCCTGAGGCCAATGACAACAGCTTAGCCTTGCAGGTTGTTAATAATAACTTATGAGAAGCTGTTAAGTGCATTAATGTGTCCTAGACACGCAGGTAAATTTGAATTCAGTATCTGTCAAATTCACATCTTCCTCTTAAGGGTCCAAATGTAGTGGAGAAAGCTATGAAAACAATGCAATGCAACATTTCAGAAATTGAGGGGAATTTCAAGTTAAGTTTTTCATTCAATTCTTTAAGTGAGCTCTAAAGAAGAAACAATTCTTTTGATCAGAAATTAGCGAAAGTTTTCCCGAATGTGTGATTTGAAAGAAGCCTAACTACAAAGCATCTATAAATAAAAATATGAATAAGCTAACTTAAATAATAGAGGCAAGGATGCATATTCTTCTTTCCCGCCGTGTGGAATACACATGTTCAGAACTTGAGAACTCTGGGGATGCGTTACCAGAACTATTGTGAAGACAATTCTCATGGACCACAGCGTGATTTCCAATTTTCATTGCATGGAACAACAGGAAGGGGGAGGAATGGAGAGTTTCGAATAAACCCTGGAAGCACGAGAAGCACGGGCGGAGCCGCAGTCATTCTCTGCTTCTGCTAACGCGCAAAGACATCCCCTCCCTGCCTGGGACTGAAGCGTGATGACAGGTCCTCCATGGAGTGTGCAAACGAGACTGTGGTGAGGGAGTTTGTCTTTCTTGGCTTCTCGTCTCTGGCCGAGCTGCAGCTGCTGCTCTTCATCGTCTTCCTGCTCCTCTATTTGTTTACTCTGAGCACCAATGCTGTGATCGTCTCCACCATTGTGCTAGAGAGGGCCCTTCACACCCCCATGTACTTCTTCCTTTCTGTCCTCTCCTGTTCGGAGACCTGCTACACCTTTGTCATTGTGCCCAAGATGCTGGTTGACTTGCTGGCTCGGAAGAAGAGCATCTCGTTCCTCGGCTGCGCCATCCAAATGTTCGCCTTCCTCTTCCTCGGTTGCTCCCACTCCTTCCTGCTGGCAGTCATGGGTTATGATCGCTATGTGGCCATTTGCCACCCTCTGCGATACACAGTGCTCATGGGGCACAGGGTATGCGTGGGGCTCGTAGCTGCTGCCTCTGTCTGCGGCTTCACTGTAGCACAAGTTATCACACCCTTGGTGTTCCGCCTACCCTTCCAGACCTCCAACCAACTCCGTCACTTTTTCTGCGACATCTCCCCGGTCCTCCAGTCGGCATGCCATCATGCCCACTTCACTCGGATCGCCATCTTCCTGCTCTGTGCACTGGTCCTAGTCATCCCTCTGTTGCTGATCTTGGCGTCGTACATTCGCATTATGTCTGCCATCCTCCAGTTCCCTTCCAACTTAGGCAGGTACAAGGCATTTTCCACCTGCGCTTCTCACCTCATTGTTGTCGTGGTCCACTACGGCTGTGCCTCCTTTATCTACCTAAGGCCTAAGTCCAGCTACCCTTCACGCCAGGATGCTCTGATATCGGTGTCCTACACTATCCTAACTCCATTGTTCAACCCAGTTGTCTACAGCTTAAGAAACAAAGAGTTCAAGTCAGCTCTTCATAGAGTTATAGAAAGAACAGTTACCCTAAGGCAACGCTAATGAGTATTCTGCCTGTTTCAAATAACTAAGACTAACCGGACACAGAGGGAAATTCTCCAGATGGAAATAAATGAGCAGTTGAGCAACATGTCCACAGACAGAGAATATTTTCCCCTCACTTCCGATATAAAATTCAGAAACAGTATCTTGCCTTGATGACATGAAATATTGCCCACTAAAGAATGTTACACGAGCCCATTTCTGTCCTAGGGGGCCAGTGTTGTGGCTAATCTCGACTGTCGGTTCACAGAGGAGTTAGAATCAGCTAAGACACATGCTCCCGGGCAGATGCGTGAACACATTTCCAGAAGTGATTAGCTGAGGGGAGATCATCCCTCAGAGTGAACAGAGCCTTTCAGCACGGGGCCCAGATGTAAAGACGTCTAAGTAAAGGGCTGTTGCTTGCCACCTGCCTTCCCAAGCTGTGTCTATGGCTGTTATTTTTGTTGTTGCTGCAGCTGCTGCTGCTGCCACCCTTTGGTGGTCCCAACACACTCAGAGGACAAGGACAGAGGACAAGTGGGTCTCCAGGGACCTTCCAGGCCTGTAACAAAAACTTTTTGTTGTTGTTGTTAGGTTTGTGAGACAGGGTATCTCTGTATAGTTTTGGAGGCTGTCCTGGAACTCGCTCTGTAGACCAGGCTGGCTTGGAACTCACAAAGATCCGCCTGCCTCTGCATCTGCTGGGATTAAAGGCGTGCGCCACCAACGCCCGGCTAGCATAAACTTTTTGACTGTTGAGAAATCAGCCTTATGGAATGAGCACCTCTAATGCAACGTGCACATAGCCATTACTGGACTACATATTCAGTCCCTCCTGTGTGGACCATTCTAGCGGCTCTGTCCCCCCAGGGAACCCTGTCGGATGCACTGGAAAGTGCTTTATTTCCAGGTTGTGCTCTTTCTGAGTAATTTCTGAACTGTGTTATTTCAATATAAGTAAGTTACGATTTTAATGAGATAATTGGAAAACTACCAGCCAAAGTTTGGTGTATATGATATAGGCAACTGATTCTCTCATAGAAAGTCATAAGACAACTATTTTGGTGTTTCTTTAAGTTTTTATTCAAATCTACTGTGTGCTGATAATATCAGCGTATCTAATGAATACGACCTTTTTTCCCTGATATTTAAAACCTATTTTACTCAGCATTCACCAAGTGGAGAGCTCTGTGCAGAGTCACAAGTGTCTGTTCTTCGTGTGAGTCAGGGTCCACAGGTGGGTAGGACCAGAGCCAGAGATGGCCATCTTGTTTACCTCTTGATGAAGGACTGGGAAATGCCTGGAGATCTGCAATTTGGATGTCTGACTGTTCATGTTTCTTTCTGTGGTCTGATGTGAATAAAGGTTTCTCAATTCATTTTCTTCTTCCTGTTTTCCTTTTCTTTCACTCATTGCTTCTTCAGTGGTGAAGATTAGTGGTGTAAGCCTTCCAGGTAGTGCAATAAGAAAAAAGAAAAGGAATCTCCCATCAAACGCCTGCTCAGTTTGCAGCCTGTCTGCTAGGGTGTCCACCAACTTCATTTCTTCCATATCTTTAAATCTTGAGACAGTACATGGGCAGGGCTTGAAGGAAATGACTACTCGAGCAAACTTCAAGTTAACTCATGCAGCTGCCAAGTTATTTTCTCTCATTTGCATGATAATTACATCAGTCTCCCGGACTACCAAGTTGTCTCATGAAAAGGAAATGGGCTGATTATGAATCCCTTTAACATGTCAGTTGTTTGTGCTTCGTACTGCATAGAGTGTCTTTAAAAGGTTGCTCCCTGTGTAGCTTAAAGCAGCCTTGAGAAGTATGCATTGTGGTCCACATTTTGTAGATGGTAAACGGATACTAAGAGGACTGAAATGATCTCCTTATCGATGGATAGAAGAATGTGAGTGCACATCTGATGCTGAAACTGTGCTCTCCTGTGACCCTCTGTAATAGTGAGTGTTCCCATTAACAGAGACTAGACCATGTAAATATGTAGACGACTAAGTCCCCTGACATCTGTAGAAAATACCTCAGCCTTGGGTACACTGTCTATTTGGAGTAATATTATAGAAGACAAACAAACAGAAAAATCATTGTGTATCAACAGGATGTGGTATAAGGGTCAGGAAGACGGCTCGGTAGGTGAAGTTGTAAGCTGTCAAGCCTGAACACCTGACCCTAGAACAAGCATGGTGGAAGGAGAGAACTAACTCCTGCAGGTTAGCATTTGACCACCACATTCACACAATGGCATATGCACACCAACACACATGTACACACACACACACACACACACACACACACACTTGATAAAATAATGGAAAATCCTTAAGTAGAAAACAAACAGCACCTCTCAAACTCAAACAACAAAAAGGTCATGGATATTAGACTGCATTTTCTGACATTTAATCCTTCCTTCTATTTTTCCTTACAAATAAAGAGTTAAATCTACCTTGGACCCATGATCTCTTAAGTTTTACCTGAACTTCCTGGTCATTCCAGGCACGCATACACACACACACACACACCTTGAGAGCTTTATCTCCAAATCAAAATATAACTTGAAGGAAAGTGGTGCCATTCTGAGATTTGCAGTTCGCTTTTAAAGAGACTCCTGCAGGCCATCTGCCTAGGCCACAAGTTCCAGCTGAGTTTACCAAAACACCAGCCCCTGAGCATCAGGCATAAGGAACTATAGCGACATGTGGAGAAAAGCCTAGAAAGGGAAGAAACTCTGCTATCAAGAGCTAATAGGGACTTCAGCCCTTCCAGGCCCCAACCTCCCGAGATCCCAGCTTCAGGTGAGCTTGGGTCTCTGGGGGGACACTCTCCATCCCCTGCCCAACACCCATCCTCTGGATCTTCTGGGGTCACTCATGGCATCCAGAAGACCCACCCACACAGAGAAGACATCAGCCCTTCCAGACCCCAACCTCCGGCGACCCCAGCTTCAGCTTCAGCTTCAGGGTCAGCGTCCCCAGCTTCAGCTTCAGGAAGGAAGGAAGACCAGTGGAGACAGAAAGACCCCAACTGCACCCCCTGGAAGAAGAGATGGGAAGAAGAAAGAATAAGAGCACACTCAGCAATAGAAAGACCAACATGACTCCACCAGAATCTAGGGAACCAACGCCAGCAAGACCTGAAAAGCACTACATAGATGAAGCAGAGGAGACAGACCTTAAAAATTATTTTATGATGATGATAGAGAACCTCAAAGAGGAAAGCAGGAAATCCCTTAAAGAAATAGAAGAAAAAACAAACAAAAAATCCATGAAATGGGGGAAAAATTCAAGAGATAAACAAATCTCTCAAAAAATCTGAAGAATGCAAAAAAAAAACCAACCAAACAAATGAAGGAAACAACTCAAACAATTGAAGGATTGAAAGCTGAAATAGAAACAATAAAGAAAACACAGAATGAGGGGATGCTGGAAATAGAAAAGCTGGGCAAATGATCAGGAACAACAGATGCAAGTATCACCAATAGAGTACAAGAGATAGAAGAGAGAATCTCAGGTGTTGAAGACTCATTAGAAGATATACAGTTGTCAACCAAAGAAAATCTCAAAACCAACAAATCCCTAACACAAAATATCCAGGAAATATGGGACACCGTGAAGAAGACAAACCTGAAAATAATAGGTATAGAAGAAGGCAAAGAAATACAACTCAAAGGTACAGAAAAGATATTCAACAAATCATAGAAGAAAACTTCCCTAACCTAAAGAAGGATATGCCTATGAAAATACAAGAATCCTACAGAATACCAAATAGGGTGGACCAGAAAAAAGCAGTCACCTCGCCATATAATAAATAAAACATCAAACCAACAGAATAAAGAGAAAATATTAAGAGCAGCTAAAGAAAAAGGCCAAGTAACATATAAAGGCAGACCTATCCGAATTACACCTGACTTCTCAATGGAAACTATGAAAGCCAGAAGATGCTGGACAGATGTCCTACAAACGCTAAGGGAACAAGGATGCCAGCCCAGACTACTATATCCAGGAAAGCTTTCAATTACCATAGTTGGAGACAACAAATATTCAATGACATAGCCAGATTTAAACAATACGTATCCATGAATCCAGCTCTACAGAAAGTGCTAGAAGTGAAACCTAGACCCAATGAAAATAACTACACTCACAAAGACACAGGCAGTAGATAATCCCACTTTACCAAACACCGAAAGAAAAAGGGAGGAGAACCTTCACAAAATAACTCCACTACCAATAAATCAAGCACAAAGAAGAATCATCAATCAATGGTCATTGATATCCCTCAATGTCAATGGTCTCAACTTGCCTATAAAAAGACACAGACTAGCAGAATGGATACGAAGACAGAACCCATCCTTCTGCTGCATACAAGAAACACATCTCAACATCAAAGACAGACGTTACCTCAGAGTAAAGGGTTGGGAAAAGATTTTCCAATCAAACGGACCCAAGAAACAAGCTGGTGTAGCAATCCTAATATCTAACAAACTAGACTTCAAATTAAAATCAATCAAAAGAGATAAAGAAGGACATTTCATTTTCATCAAAGGAAAAGTCCATCAAGATGAAGTCTCAATTTTGAACATCTATGCCACAAATACAAAAGCACCTACATTCATGAAAGAAACATTACTAAAGCTCAAATCCCATATAAAAACTCACACACTAATAGTAGGAGATTCCAACACTCTGCTCTCACCACTAGAAAGGACCTCTAGACAGAAACTTAACAAAGAAACAAAAAAACTAATAGAAGTTATGACCCAACTGGGTTTAACAGACATCTATAGAACATTCCACCCAAATACAAAGGGATATACCTTCTTCTCAGTGGCACATGGAACCTTCTCTAAAATTGACCACATAATAGGAAACATAGCAAATCTCCACAGATACAAAAAAAAATGGAATAACCCCCTGTATCTTATCAGACCACCATGCATTAAAATTAGAATTCAACAATAACACAAATCCCAGAAACTCTACAAACTCATGGAAACTGAACAATGCACAATTGCACCATCCCTGGGTAAAGGAAGAAATAAAAAAGAAATTAAAGACTTCCTGGAATTCAATGAGAATGAAGACACAACATACCCAAACTTATGGGACACTCTGAAAGCAGTGCTGAGAGGAAAGGTCATAGCACTAAGTGCCCACTTGAAGAAACTAGAGAACAGTCACACTAGAGAATTAATAGCACAACTGAATGCTATAGACCAAAAAGAAGCAAACTCACCCAGGAGGAGCAGACGCCAGGAAATAATCAAATTGAGGGCTGAAATCAATCAAGTAGAAACCAGAAAAACATTACAAAGAATCAATGAAACAAAGAGTTGGTTCTTTGAAAAAATCAATGGGGAGACCCTTTGTCCAAACTAAACAAAAGGCAGAGAGAGAGAGAGCATGCTAATTAACAAAATCAGAAATGAAAAGGGGAACATGACAATGGACACTGAGGAAATCCAGAGAATCGTCAGAGCATACTTTGAAAACCTGTACTCCACAAAATTTGAAA